TTCGTTCCCTTGTTCGTTTCGTGTCTCGTTTAAATTAAAAAGACAAAAGCACGCATTCTTTATCTTTTACTTTTAATGTAAACAGAATGATAAACGAATCACGCACGAACACGACCGCACATCCTGGAACTTNNGAGCCCTTAATCATATTGCTGTTCCTGATTTCGCTCTCAAAAAGCCTAAACTTAAGTGCAAAAAACACACGCTCCTTTCTCTCGCTTGTTTTCATTCAATTAGATTAAGTCGTTTTGTTCTCCTCATTTCGTTCGTATGTGCTGTGATTTAATTGGAACAAAGCATGCTTTCTCTTCATTCCATTATCTTTGTTCAATTAAATCACATCACATTACTCTCTTCACACCTATCATTCAGTTACTGTGGGCATTATAGGAGAGCCACGATGGTAAGGTTAGACAAAGGGAAATGAGGTGTAACCGCCAGTCAAGGGTCATTCCCTTGTGTTCATTCCGTTCCTGTTTCGTTTCAATGAATTAAAATAAACACGCGTTCGTTTCACTTCCTTTTCTTTCAATTGGTTATACGAAACACTCACTTCACATTACATTAAAGGAGTGGAATGAGTGAAGAATGAACGAATGAAGCACGAAAAGGACACAATTTTAAACAAACAAAGACAAGTGAAAATGATGATCGCGTGCTTTGTTTAGTTTGAATTGGGCTCTTTTCCCCATTTGTTCATTCTTTCTTCTTTCACTTCGCTCATTTCTCGCTTCCCTGTCACTGCGTTCAGTTCATTGAAAATGAGCGAAGCAAAAGGGAAAAGAATAGAACAAATGACTCAGTTAACTTCAACTAATCTTGGTACACTTCTCGATTTGTGCGTGTCATCCTTGAGCACGGGCCATTCCAATCTTCCCTGTCTCGCTCCAATTTCATCCTGCCGTTACCTGTACACTAAAGAATAACAAGGCTGTCGTTCCCCGCTCAATACATGCGCACTCTGCTACTCTGATCTGCTTCTGCGGATATCCCTGGAATACGTAATACACTCTACTCATTCAGAGACTGAACTCGAACCCATATCGAAGCCGACAAGCATGCATCGTGAACATCATCGGGACCCATATCGGAGCAGACAGGCAAGCATCATGAGCATCATCGGGGGCTCGTTTCTCCCGTCTGGAGCGGTCTGAAAAAACCATTTTCAGACACCCCAAAAAGGACCCGGCGGTCCCACCAAATCCAGCTGTGGGGCCTGGCTCGGAAACCCTCAAAATTTGCCCACCTCCAGGAGCCCCTCCCAACCTTGCCAGCTTCGCCTCACGACCCCTAAACCCTAAACCCCGAAGCCCTAAACCCTAAACCCCTAAGCCCTAAACCCTAAGCCCCAAACCCTGAAGCCCTAAACCCTAAACCCCCAAAACCTAAACCAGACAAGTTTGTCGGTTGATAAGAAACTCAGCTAGCCCCGGAGGCTAGCTTTCGTGACGAAGAACGGATATCCTAGCTTGCTCGTGGTCTGTGTGACGGGTGGGGCACTCTTGCTCTGCATGGCATTAGGGCGCAAGCCAACGTTTTGCACCAGAATCCCGTGGCATCGCACAATGTTCGGGTGCTTGCCTGGTGGAAAAGGCGCTGCGCTGCGGAGCAGCGCGAGAAGCAGCGCTTCAACGTGGCCTGCTCGCTCGGAGAGCTCGGCCTCCCGCTGCACCGACTCCAAGGCCTGACCCGCTTGAGGCTTTCCCCCCATTTCCGCATCTTGCCAAAAAACAGTAACAGCGCAGGCTCTCTACGTTTCTTCCTCCAGGGACACGTGGCCGGAGACGGCGGTAGGCCGGGCAACCAGCCGTCGCAAATCGTATTCTGAGCCTGGACCGGAGGCCCAAAGAAGCAATGACCCAACCAAGGAAGCCCTTTTGCCTGAGACACTGCAGCGAGCACGGCTGCCACGAGGGCCGCGGGACTCCTTACTACTCGATATTCCGAGTGCCACAACAGTTTCAAGCCCTCACCCCGGTCCTCCCGGACCCGAATTGATCCTTCAGAGGTGCCAAACCGCAGCTCGCTGCCAAACCAGGACCTGATGCAACATGGCGAGTTGCAACCAGGAAGCAAAATCACCAAAGCAAGCAGGGCTCCATGGGGTTTCGGTCCAGGAATCTCCCGACATGGCGTGAACTCGATATCTGTCCTCAATGCATCTAAGCACAACTCGCATCCAAGCACGAAACTCTAGATTTCCAACACCTGAGTATCCATCATTATTCAGTGGCTTGCAGAAATCCCTTGTGATGGAGCGGCAAGGCGTGCTGAAAGCTGACAATCATATGCACCCCCACCACCTTCGCTGCACAGAAAAGCTCGGTACAGTCTCGAAGCACGCATTTTCTGATCTTCCAATATAGATCAACTCCTAGATCCTCCGTCACAACCGGGAAGAAGTCCGGAAACCGGGCTCACATGCCTACGAGCACAGCCGCAAGCAGCCAGAGACACACGCCTCGAACTGTTGATGCTCGTGGCTTCTAGCCCACTTCTCTTCTGCTGCGAAGGTCACCGAAACTGCCGAGCGCATGTGCTTAAACCTTGTATATGCTCCCCTGTCAGGAACTCGCAGCGCAGCGGGTGCAGCCGTGGGACAAGCAGGTGCGAAGCTGCTCAGACTCGGTCTGAGCCGGAAGGCCCATGGTCCGGGAGTCCCGTCGGAAACCGCCAAGGTGAAACAAAACAAGCTGGCTCAGCGGGGCTAGAAAAGTGCCGACGTGGTCGGACCAATGGGTTTTGGGAGCGACGACATGCGCCTCGGCATTACGCAACATCTCGAAGCAGTATGAAAATGACACGTTGGGTGAATCCGCATCGATACTCCGATGTTGACTGGGTCCTGAGCTCCACTTCCATCAAGTCCGGAACAGAAGCCTTGGACCCAGACTGTCTGAAGGAAAGATGGCACAGTCTTCGTTTAATGCATCCATGCCACTCTCCCTGGAGCCTCACAGTTTAAAGCCATCCAAAGGAACAGTTTGTCATGCGTCAACTGGGGAAGGGAACGATGCGCCACGAAGCTTGTCCTTGCCTGGCTCGGCAGTGGCGAACCCTCCGAGGGCACAGTCGCCCTCAGCAGAGACAAAGATGCTCGGAGACTTTCACAGGATTTGGGGCGCGGGCAATGCGTCAGCATCTGGCACCTCGCAGCAAGGGCCAGCAAGGGAGCCTGGAGCTCGTTCGGTGCCAAGCCGAGCCAAGCCACCCCATAGCCGTGGGATGGGACTCCGCCCAGCAGCCGGCACTGTCCGGACCGAGGCACAGCTCCCACCTTCAAAAAAGGGGGAAGGAAATGGAAGGAACTACAGGAATGTCAAAAAAAATCGGGCACCTTGGCACGGATCATGCCAATCGCATGGCTGACCGCTGCTTCCTTCTCAGACAAGTCAGCCATCGTAGACCTTGGCCGTGGCGATGGCCATTGACCCAAAAGAAATACTTCAATTTGCTTTTAAGGGTGAAGCTGGTCGATTTTTGTTTCCTGCTGCCTCATGTCTTTCATGATCTGGAGCAGCTTCTCTTTCACCTCCAACAGAAACCTTGAGGGATTCGAAAATGGCAAAAGCCACAGGAATGCTGGCATTCACCTACGTGCACTTAAGAACTGTCTGTTCCTGGCGAGCGACTCCTGGATCCTCCGCAAGGCCTCGTCGGGCAGCGAGTGGATCTTGTAGCGGACCTGAGGAGAGAGAAAAAAGAGGCTGCGAGACAGACAGTCAGTCAGACAGACAGACATTTTGAGACAGAGACAGAGAAAGAGAAAGCGAGAGAGAGAGAGAGGGAGGGAGACGAAAGAAGGAACTCATCAGTGGCAGGGGCCTGGTACACCACATCATCGATGAGAATCTTGCTGTCCTGCACACATTCTGTATCGTGACACTTGCCACCAGGTGCAGCGATCCTGCACGGCTCCTCCGGGGGCATTCCTGGTCGGCTAACCCATGCGAAGACATCGGCCGTATCTTGCGCGTTGGCCACATTGAGCCTGGCAGTGCTGCGGCTGCGGCTGCCTCAGTCCGAAGCCGCCGCGCTCCTCACATTGTACACTGGCACCATCTCCTTCAGGGCCTCGAACATGTTCATCGCCGAGGCCCTGAAGCTGCGCGCCGCTGCGCGCCGCTGCTCCGCAAAAGGGAAATCCTTCCCGGCCCCGAGGCTCCGGCCCTCCGCTGCCCAGACGACCGGATCTCGAGGTGGTGATGATCGGATTGTCGAACTCAGCGGCCTCTGACTTCAACGCTTCAACGCTCTCTCTCCCCCTCCCTATCGGCCCTATCTCTGCTTCGACGTGCTTCGACCGTGTTTGTCTTTGGGCCCTGGCACAGTGGAAGGAAGCGATCAGGCCCAGGCCTCCCAGGCCTCCTGTGACCTTAGGGGAAGAGAAGGGGTTCTTAGGGAAAGAGAAGAGCCACACTGCCACGCTCCCTCTCAAAGAGACTCTCAACCCGCTGTGGCCCCGGCCATCATTTTGCCTAAAGTTGCCTAAAGCCTACAAAGAAACCCCTCGACTCTCCCGTCCTACGCCCTACGCCCGTCTCCCTGAGCCCAGTTGCAAAGAAAGCGCCATGCCACGACTCAAACGAGATTGAAATCTCAAGTTTGACCTCGAACAAGCTTTTGAACAGGCAGCGTAGCACTGCATGAAGCAAATCGATGGACCACAGTCGAACTGACAGCTTGCACGATGCTCCATGGTCACAGTGTAGCTCTTGGGGAGTGGGTGGTGTTCGCCTGTGATCTGGATCCTACGTCTACACAGCAAGCTCAAACAGCCTGCATGCCTCTCCTCTGACAACAACGCCTGCATGTTTCTAGCAATAACTCCACTCCTCTGCTAATCCAGCTTTGCTGGAGCCTCACGGCACAACTTTGCAGCAAGCTGGTCTTATTCCCGCAGATCACGGAGGTCAACCACTTCGCTCTCTTCGTGAGAGACCGGCCTGCAGGGTTGTTCGGTGGAGCCACATTTGCCATCGATGCTTCGCTATCTGCAAAAGCTCCTTGAAGTCTCAGAGTACTCCATCTCAGCACCTGAGTGCGTGCCAAAAAGTCAGGCGAAAGCGAAAACATGTTCTGGCGCTATGTTATGCAAGCCGATTCCCAATGCAAGTCACGTGACCTTGGCGTGCTCCCGGACTTTGGGACACCGCTGTCAGCTCCTCGGCTCGGTGACAGCTATCGAAGGTCCCTGCAGCCTCTGCTCGTATCAGAAAAGCCACAACTTCCTGCCTCGGCTTCAAAGCAGCACTGGGTGCAACAAGTCAACAAGCTCACCGAGAGTCGCTGACAGCGTGACACTTCAGCTGGCGTGTTCTCCTTACATGAACCAAGCTGCGGAGCAGCATCAGCTCCTGGGAAACGGACGGGCAACAAGCTCTGCTAGCATGCTGCCTGAAAATCATACAAAGACCAGCTACTCCGATGAACGACAGAAAGAGGTAGGGACCATGTGCGGCAGGGTACCCAACTCCCGCGCCAGCTCTCGGGCATCAGCATTGGCCATGCTGGCACGGGCCAAACTCTTCCGATATCTCAGGAGGCGAGGAGAAAAAGCCAGGCGACTGTAACCAACTGTACCGGACAGAAATGCATGATTCGGGCGCTAAATCTGTAAAATGAAGCCTCACACCTTTGCGCCAGGGACGACATCCAGTGTCGTGCGAGCCGCCTGACAACCGAGGAGTACAGCCGTGGTTGCACCTTCTGCCTCGGCTGCTGTAAAGTCAAGACAAAAATGGCCCAAACGGCAGCCAAACTTGACTCAGACTCAGAACCGGGCGGCTCTTCAGGCCTTTGCAATGTGACGCAGCTACATCGCAAAACCGCGTGCAGAGGATGCTGGAAGACGAGGCACGCGGGTTGCGATGTGTCTTCTTCAGTCTCTGCAGGAGGTTGCTTCCGCGGCTTCAGGAGCAGCAGAACGGGACCCAAACTGCCGAACCTGCGAGAAGGGCCCCAGTCCGCTCTCGTCTCGTCTCGTGCGCTACTTGCAGCAACACTTTGCCAGAGCCACTCGCCGCTTGGTCCAGCAACAAGCAGAAGTGCGGAAAAGAAGACCAGAGAGGTCACCACGGAGACGCTGATGACGAAGCAAATCACAATCCTAAGCATCGCAAGCAACTAAAGCAGTTAAAGAAAGCCGCCCGACCTTCACCTGCGTAAAGACTCAGGCGAGGTTCCCAAACTTGACGAGAAACAAGCCTTGGACAAGCAGCTTCCAAGGCTGATACGCCTATCTCGGAGATAACGCAGTGCCGTTGTTACGCTTGCAGGCTTTGTCTTGTCCCTGAACACACCATGCACGTTTGCCATGCGCTGAGGCCGTCCATTCCTGCCGAGAATCTCTGGCAGAACGTCATGAAGATGGCAGCTCCAGCCTGTTCCCATCAGAAGCACTCTCTGTGCACTGTGCTCTTTGGGCACCAGACTTTTTTGACCGCTGACTTTGCAAGACCACATCATGCAAGTAGAACTTCTGGAAGGCCGGATGAGCATGGATGCTGGATAAGGTCGGACTGTGCTCCTGGACCTGAAAAGCTTGTTCCTGAACGAAATATGGATTTACTTTCCACCTGCAGTTGTCACCTTCTTAATTATCAGGCGGGCTTGAAATTGCGGTGGCCACTGGGCAATACACAGATGCACATTGTCCAGACATGTTACACTGCTCTTTCATTGGGAATCCAAGATGCAGAAGAAATGGCTCCGGAGATAACAGACACACCCATCTTGGTGACCTCCAGTGCTTGCATTGCTTGGGAGCAGACGGGTATGCATGAAGTCAACTGAACGTAAGCGTCTGCAGACCACGGCTAAGTCCCGGGCCATGAATTGCACCCGGTCCTCATGCTGTCACAACTCAACGAAAACAAGAAGAGCACCCAACGGCAACTCGTCCTCTCGGCTCTCGTCGGGACACTCCTGGTAGGCATCGCCTGCCCGCGCTCGCGCCGAGTGCGCGGCCGTGCGGCTCACGCGGCTCGCAGCCTAGGTGGATCACATAGTCCACGGACAGGCCGATGACCATCACATAGATGATCGCCTCCGACACGCTGGTCTTCCAGTCCATGCAGACGGCAAAGGCCAGCACGGAGGAGACCTGAGAGGCCCCCGCACTCATCCACCATCAAATCCCAGCAAGAAGTCCACGTTAAGGCCCGGGCAATGGCGACGATGCATGAGACAGAGATGAGAGCAAGGACTACGTTCTGAGTTGCTCCGAGAAGCACTAGGAAGGCCAGAAACCTAAGACAACGCTGCGCAGGTGCCACTAGAGCGACCTCATCTTTCAATGTTCGAGTGCGCAACAGAGAAAGTTTGATACCATCGAAGACTTCAGCGTTCATCGCGTCCTGCACCTGGAACCAGTGGAATGCAAACCTGAGCAAGTGACAACAGTAGATCCAGTACCACTTTCAAAAACTGAGAGCGCAGATTATTCTGAAGGGCATGTCCGTAGCGAAGATAGCCTTCGGCAACAACGGAATCCTCTCCTGCACCAGCTTCCATCTCAACGAGGTGCTTTCAAAATGGTTTCCGATTAGCAACACTCCTGCTTTGCTTCTCTTGCAGCAAATTCTTGGATGAACCTGGACAGTTTCGGACTCCACTCCCGTGAAATCTCTTCTGGTGCATCCAGGAAGCTTGTCCCAGTGGCGGTTGAGCTCAATTCCGTCCTCAGGTAACACTCTGCTTAACTTCTGCTGTTGGAAAGGAGGTGCAGACTCGGCATGCTGCTTCGCCAAGCAACCAAGTAAGGGATCTGCCAAGTCGTTTTCAATGCCACTTCAATGACAATAGCACGGAGGACCAGTTCGCCATCTACACGGTCAAAGAAAACCTGAGCCAGAATCAAAGAGTTAGGGAGGCAGGCGTTGGAGGCGAGGCGCTAGATGAAGACTACCGAGTCCCCAGCGACACAAGGAACAAACCCCACAGAGGAGAAAGTTGGGTCGGCAGAGGCTGAGCAGAAGAAGGAATCCCATCATACAGGGCGAAACACACGGCTGGTGCAAACATCTGCGTGCGACAACATTTTGTGGAGACACCTGCCCATGCAGCAGAAACCTGGTGTGCACACTGCATGATGATCGCAGTCGGTGAAACTGCCTTAGGCACATGTACTGTCGTGTCCGCACGTATTTGTGAATCACAGCACAGAGGGCAGCACACTAGATCCAAGCACGCGTGCATACGCGTGCTTGCAGGAAATGCGCCCTTCCAAGTGATCTTCTACCGACTGCAGGACAACCCCGGCCGCGCACATGCGCCACTGCCTGGCACGAGCCAACATCGGCAACTAAACACACATGTGCGGAATTTGTCGATCAAGCTGGGCCCATCCAGACCAAGGAAAGGAGCACATGCGGCGGAAAGCTACGCCAAGGAAACAAGATGCAGACAACATGTCGGAGCCTTAATCAGAATGCCAAGGAGTCATGTAGCCGCGAGCTCGCTCGGGCTTCTTCAACTGTAAAAGGCTTGCGAGTTGCGTCCAAGAGGCCTCATCCTGGAAGAATTCCATGTTGCGCTGCCCAGATTGATACATCCTGACTGGCAGCTGGTCACCCGAAACACAACTCCTTCTGCAGCTGAGGTACTTGTTCGAAGGAGGCATTGGCGATGACAGAAACTGGACGAAGTGTGAGTCCCCACCACAACAGAATTTGCCTCTGCACCAGCTCCATGCCATGCATTGCGTTGCCCTAAACCCTTTCAGCAGCTGCCCTCGTGCCGACAAGCATCTGGAAGGAAACCCCTGACACAGAGCTCACTGCACTGCAACTGCGAATCTCGACACGAACACCTTGCGCTCTTCACCTCCAGAGTTCCCATGGTCTGTTTGGCCGCCACGTTCATTGTGATCTCGGCCACACCAGGCCATGAAACACACCCGTCAGAAGTCTCGCGTGGAAATGGGGAAACATCGAAACAAGCAAGTGAGCAGGTGACAATCCAATGCTCAAAGTCGCGGAAAACCTCAGAGGCCAGAACATGTTGTTGAAATGTTTCAAAACGCTCGCAAGAGATCCTCAGCAAGCCACACATTTGACTGGAGGCAAACCGGCAAGATCTTCTGCAGAAGCTACCCGAAGGAATGGGTACTCGCCTTACCAACACGAAAACTGCTCTGGAACACATAAGACACACGGACATGTTTCGTCGTTTCACACGACACGCGGCAAGACGTTCGACCGCACTGAATACAATCAGTAGTCTCTTTGCATGCGTTGCAAAAGTAAGTGAATACACTGTGAGGGTGCGTTTTCGGACCAAGGCATTCTTGGAATTATCTCGACATGTTGTGCATCTCGACATGCACTTGCTGTGGCTCTGGGAATCTGTCGTTGGTGCTCGGAGAGCCGGGACTCGTCTCCATCCCATTCGGAAGCATCCTCCAGCATATCCTCAGCAGTCTTGCATCATTGATGTGCTAACGAAAATTGGGTTCTAAGTACCGCGTAATGCGTGACACACTTCGATAAACACCAACCTCAGACTTTGCATGCACGCATACCTTTGGGCATCATGGAAGCGTGCGACTGCCGACTCGCACTGTTGTGCTTCTTAGCTCCGCCAATCCTACTTTTTCTAAGACCCATGGCATAAAGCCGAGGACCGGTTCGGAAGGGACTATTTCTATCAGGGGACGCTGGTTAAGGACGCGCGCGAGCGCGATCGGAACACAGCAACGATGCCGCGTTAACACGAAGTTATGGCTGCCAACTATAGTTTCGCCTACACAGAGGCTCATCGGGGCACTATGTGTCAAAACTGCATCAAGCCGTGGCACATGCACATGCTAAAACACATGCAAGTGCCGAACATTTCGTCGCAGATGTTTCCACCGCATCCTCTGTCCGAATTTGAGCTGCCTATGTATCCAATGAATCCACATTACATGTTTGCAAAGATAAGCCTGCACTCGAGGGACGAAGGTTCTTGATGTCAAAAGTAACAAGCTCGAAACAGGACGGGATGAATAGATTTGCGATCCTGTCTTGCGGCTCCAAGCTGGATTGAATAGCAAACTTCCATTGGGAGCCAATTGCTGCTAAAGATTCGGTCAAGACAGTCGCAAATGGTGCGATCAATGACCTGCTCATGTTCATTATTGCCCTCCGGACGAGAGGACCCTTGCGAAGAATGCAGAATCGGCCAAAATGCTGAGAACATCTGAGAAGTAATGCTGCTCAGGATGAAATCCTCACTGCTGGCTGCGAATGAAGTGCATGAGGCTCTCTTGTGACAAATTTCATCTTCGATGTGGTTACTGCGGTCTCACTGTCACCCACCGGCGGTGAAGCTTCTGCTAGAAGTCGCAAACATTCATTTTGAAACCACTGTCGCGAAACTATGGCATCACCCAGATACTGTTCGATACATGCAACCTGTTCGTTCTGGTCAACCATCCGCCAACGGCCACATCAATGAAGTCCTCATTTCGAGTGAGCGGTTTGGGGACGTACTTCTCCAAGTCGCACTATTAACAACAGAGCTGGGAATTTGAGGATGTTCTGGACGGGTCCACGTTCCTCGCAGAAAGTAACGGCTGGGCTTCTGGAGGCCAATGGCCGTCCTTGGAAAAACTCGGCCTTACGCAGCGTGGTTTCCCGCGAACTGGTTTCTGAGATAACTTGCCAAACGGGACTTTGTTTGATGTCACTGATGAGCTTGCCACCCTTGGCCAAATGATCACGAACATCATCTGGGATCTAGACATCTGCTGAAGCACCCTTCTAATGGTACAAGTGACGTACTGCGTTTCTGCACGGTCTGTACCGTACATAGCTGTCGAGCCATCAGCATTCCAAAAACCGCGCTGTCTGAATCGGCACTCAGCGTCGCCAGCCCAGTGGCCGACAGCTCCGCATCTCAAGCAACGGCTTTTGCTCTTAAGCTCGGTGAGCTTAGCCTTGCGGTCTGCTATGGTAAGGTTGGACCTAACCAGCTTCCCCTTTGACTTCCCCTTACCGCTCTTATCCTTACCCTTGCCTTTGCCTTTGCCTTTCGCCTGACTCAAAGTGTTCGTCGCGGCGTGCGCAAGTTGGACTGCTTCGGCGTATTCTTCGCCGATATCATCAACTTCTATTTCTTCCGAAATCGCAGCGTAGGCGTTCAACTGCATAGCTATGTCTTCGTCTTCCACCCACAACTCGTCGTCGTTGGTGGAGCCCAGCGCTGGATATGCAGCATCGGAAAAATCGTCCTCAGGGATGGTACCCTGGTGCAGCTCGGCGGCTTCGTGTTCATCGTAACCGTAGCCCATATACCCGAACTTAGGGGCGTTATACTGCTGCCTATCGGTCCAGGGCTTATACCCTGTTCTCTGCGCATTGGGCTTCTCGGTGAGAAGTCGCTCCTTCATGTGCACGACACTATGGTGTTGCACTAGCACACGTGCGTACACATCTGTTGTCTGCGAGCGCGCCGCCGTTTTGATCATCAGTTGTTCCTGGCGGCTAAGTCCGGACAATTCGACCAGTAGATTGGCCCTCATTGCCTCTGACAAACGTATGTCTGGATCAAGCTCGCATAACGTCGCCCACCATCGCTTTCGGCGAGATGTAAGACAGCATGGGTTCTCCTTGCTGTTTCGCAAAGGGCCCTGAAAGCAACTGACCTTGGCGAAAGAGTTCTGAGGCCTTCTCTGACTGCAGAGGGAATGCTTGCTATGTTATCTGTTCTATCAGATGGTCTATGCCATCTGGCATCAGAAGACGCTCGAGACCGATGTCACGAGCGATGCTGAATGCGTCGCCGCGCAGACCCTCTAAGATCTTGGAAACGCATTCCGCCATATCCGCATCTGCGTCGGATACGTCGGCCATCGTGGGCAACACGGGCTCTGTATAGGCCCGACCGTGCTCATCCAGAAGGTCGTCTTCGTCACCTTCGATCTGGCTTGGATGGCTCGGTATCGAGCCCGCTTCGCCGTCTTCTTCTTCATCTGCTGCCTCATCGGCTGTTCGTCGTCTCCTTCGGGCGCTAGACGGACTAGCGGGAACACCGCTGGACTCACCCTCGGTGGGGTGGCCATCGCCATCTGCCAAATCGGGCCTAAGCCGAAATGCCCTAAAACCTGGATACTCTGTGGCTCCGGCACGCTTCAGTCCCCACTTGCGTGGGCTTTGGCTGCGTACACTTGCCTGCGCACTCATACGCAAATCCTTTAACAACTCCCGCTTCTGCTTCTCGCGCTGTTGTAACACACGTATGCGAGTGCGAAACTCCCAGTCATGGTAGGCTGAGGCAGAGCCGGCGTAAATATAGCTGCCGCTCTTTGTTTCTGCAGGGGAGCTATGTCCCCACTGCTGGACTCCGCTATACTTGAGTCCTGCAACGGACATGGCTCTCGTGGGCTGCTTTACCACAAGCTACAACAGTTAGACGAGGTGAGACGTGTGTCGTGGTTCACCAGCTCCGCTACCAAATTGAAGCTGAAGACAGGTTCCGAACGCTCCGACACAATACAAGTAGCCGATTTTTTGCTGTTAGCCCAAGGCGCCTGCGTCACGTACGTTGTCCACTACATCCTAGCACTGACACTATACAGGCTGCTACCAACGTAAGCTAACACGGGTCCCTAAAGGCACTCGACATCCGACAGGGTAGTTTCACAAGGGTATATTCGATCGGAGCACAGAAACGATGCCGCTTTCACACGAAGTGATTGAGCCCGATGATCCTCCTATTTTGGCACCCACTCCGAAGGCGCAATCTGGTGCCACTGAAGTGTTCGGAGAACACGCGACTTCTGAGGAAGAACGAGGCACAGTGACTGCATGCGAAACCGGGAGGAGCGTTGTGGATCCGGGCACGGGCTTGCAAAGCCGAAGGAGCCGCTGCCACGACGGAGGTCCATTTTCATGCACCTGAAACCTCTGTTCCGACTTCAGCTCCGCCGTGAGTTTTGCGTGAGCCAGATGGACCACGCCGGTTTGGAGGCGCTGGCCTACAGAGGCCAGCGAGGACGAGGGAACATAGACTCATTTGTCGGGCGGCCTGGGGCTTTGGCTCAGGGGTACCCTCGCATTGTAGGAGCACGACAAAGCGGCAGGCATTTTGGGCTGGACCATACAATGGATCGGAGACATGTCTTATTCGGCTCAGAACGTTTGGGTATCCCTTTGGGCCACAAGGAAGCATCGTACACCTCAGCCATCAGCGTATGCCATCAGATACAACGATGAGCAACTCGATCCATGGAGGGAGTTGGCTTTCACGCGTGATGCACGTGGTGGCTTGATGACACGTCGGCGAGCGCGGTTCTGGTGATTCAATTTCCATCCAGGCCGGCATAGAAAGGTAGCTGCATTCCATGAGTTCGTGTCTTCTCCAAAGTGTCAACAACTTCAGGTCTGGATTGCAGTTGGTGAATCATATGCACAGATTTGTTGGCATGAATTGGCATGACGGCTGGCATTCCCGGCTCGTCCACAAATGATCCTGCGATTACCCTGATCCTTATCCGGGGAAAGAAGCGAGACGATGAATCTGCTGGCCAAGTTTCGCACAGCCTCTGGACAACATTCTGCATTCCTGCAGAAGCCAGCAGCACGATTGATCCGCCCAAGCCCCTACATTGTTTCACATGAAAAGACAGTTGCTGACACACAGCGTGCTGCAATGCCAAAGAAAGATCCGAGACCAGTGGCTCATCTGCTTGCTTCTCTTCTCGGGCGTGAGCTCACCTAGCCACAACACCGCGATGAGCTGCCAAAACTCTTGAAAGATGGAGCACCGACCGACACTGGGAGTGCTTGTTGACAGAGATGAATGCAAAGTACGAGACAAGCTACCAGCAGTGGCGAAGAGATCAACATAGTTTGGCTTCTGCCCGGCACAATTGAAGAAGCAGTCATTGTAGTCAGGCGTAGTTCCTCGATTGATGGGTTCATCAGCATCGACACCAAGATGGATTCGGACCTTCAGCCGAAAGGGGTTGAAGGTTTTCTCGTATCTCTTCGCCAGCGTTGGCAGAAAGCGTTCGTAGTTGTCGCTCGGCATGAACACTTTCGGCATGTTCGGGTCAGGCGTGATGTATGTGGCAGTCCACATGCAGACGGCGGCCCACACGCCGAAGACACCGAGCAGTGGAAACTTGAAGGTCTTGACCTGCGCTTTGCTTTTTCTGTCAGCTCATGGCTGCCGTCTCTGCAACTCAACCTTCGCAGCTTAAAGCCACTAGCTGAGATGCAGACGAAAAGGAAGAAAGTATCATGAAACCACCTCGGATGAAATCACTAAGCGAGCGTCTCCTCTACTGCCAAGACAAAGTCACGGTCTGCTCCAAACTACGAGGATCGTCCAAGGCAAGGAACTTCTCCATGGGTCGCAGCGTATCGGCCTCGCACCGCAAATTGCTGAACAAGCCCGCACAGCTGCCAGTCATGGTGCTGCGCTGTACGAACTCGGCAAGCCCAGCACAAGATCTGCGATGTGCCGACCTCCTCGATCGCTGAGGACGTTGGGGGCTTCGGCTTCTTCAGGCGCTCGCTCGCACAGACCTGGCGACCACGAGGCGACAGGGGCCGAGGCCACGGGCTCGAAGCTCCCAAGCAGAAAATAGTGGGCTTATGCGACCGGGGCCCTCGTCTGGATTTCACGGGATGTGCCAACAAAGTGCGCCGGGGCGACGATTGCCAGGAAGAAGGAGAAGTCGATAACGAAGTTTGTTATGATAAGGCATGCCTTACGAGGCACACTCAAACGGATGCCTACGGCTCGAGCCTGTAAACTCCAACTTTGCCCGAATTCCTTCAAACAACACAAGCCTCGCCCAGCGCAAATGAATTTACGCAATTTGGCCCACGCCTGGTGCTCAATATAGAAGTATCCTTTGTCAGTGCTCCTACCCGGGGTATTGAATGGATACTAGGTCATGTTTCTGTTGAAATCAAACCACCTTGCTGCATTCCAAGCTGAGACACACAGAACATGCCGAAGGTCCGGATTGACGGGAAGTCAGAGACCGAGTTCCTGGAGCCACAGTAGCTTGAAATCAGGATCCTCCAAAGCCTCCAACTCCAACTCCCGACAATCCGAGCACTGGAGTCGCTTCTTGCAATTGAAAGCTCGAGGCGAAGGCAAAGAAGGTTGTCAAAGAGGTGCACCTCAGAAGTGAGAAGGACACAGTCCCCCAAGCGCGGCGACTTTTTCTGAGCTCCAGGCAAACAAGCCTTCGAGGCATGATGCACTGCTGGAGACATGATGGCACCTCACAGCCGGGGCACCCCAATAATTGAACCTCTGATAGTAAAGCAGGAGCTTCCAGACAACACTAAGCTTTACCATACTCGTGATCAACGAAGGAGGCAGACGCAGTACACAAACCTGCTGGTACTACACGTGCGAAGAACATGTTCTCACTTCGAAGGCCCCCGGAGCACTGAAGTTGGTGGGTCGTCCTTCCGCTTCAGCTTCGGCCTTCTCTTGGCCGTACGCATCCTGCACATTGCAGCTTGGACAGGCATCAGCGAAAGCACTGGACACACCAGAATGACGAAGGCGTCGTCCACGCCCACACCCAAGATAATGAAGAGGCCGTTGAGGTGCAGCAGTCCTGAGTTTTCTGTTCGTAGCTGTGCAGGCCTGCCGGACCGGCGACCACCGAGCACAGATTTCACTGAGAGTCCGATGTACCTCTGCCCGAATACGATGGTGTAGAGCCTGAGAGACGAGAGATGAGTCGTGGCAATGCCATGCCTCAGAGCGGCCAAGGGGCAACAGCGCCGGCCCGAACGCGAAGACGATCATCGCTATGATCTTGGTAGATGCTACGTAAAAAAGGCTCCTCCTACAACACGTACCCTAAATCCATCAAAGGCCCCAGTGCTGCGGGACAGTCATCACTGGGACTGGCACAGAGACACCGAGGAATACGGAGCCCGTCGTGTAAGAGATGTAACCCAGCATGAAGAAGATGGATGCTGTGATCCAGCGCGCATCTCGGGGGATGTTGTAGGCGATGTACCTCAATCAAACAACGTCACGCTTGCAGAACCCGCCTTCTCGTTGCATCAAGTTGCTGCTTCAGCAGGGGGCTCCCGTTTTGGAGACTGTTCGCATCGAACGACATCCTGAGGTTGGAAGGATACATGCCCACACTGCAAGCCAATCATGAGACAAGGAATCCGTTCAGCCAAGAATCTTGAAGCCTAGGCACAGCTGCAGATCTTTCTCATACGCTCACACTGTGCCTGATTGCACAAACACCCCACCTTTCGCTTTGTCGTTCAAGCCCACGAGCAAGTCATTGTAGGTGTTAAAAATCCATTCCATGATATAATCGGAAGCCTGCATGCCACAGAGCGCGACATGCCGCGCAGCATTGGCAAACTGCCAGGCTCTGCCTCGTTTCGGCCTGTCTCGGCTTTCAGCCCGCTCCAGTGTTTATTCACATTTCTCAGCTGTCAATGTCAAACTCAATTCAGACATGTGGCAAGGCAGACGCAAGCATCAATGCCAAGCATCTTCAGTGGAAATCCAAAGAAGAAAAGCGTATGCAGCGACTTGACCTGCCAAAGGAAAGGGGAACTGCAATGAGCTCCGTAAAAGGCAACGGAACCTGGGTGTTCCGTGTAGTGCAAATGCCGTGATCTCGGATTTTGCAGCTTCCGGCATCGTCATCTCCAACCCTGGGCAGTAGGACAGAGTTCACTTCCAGGGCTATCAGCGTAACCGCAGCTCTAGGAGCGTAACCGCAGCTCTAGGTCTCGCCGAGAAGCACACTGAAGAGATTCGGGAATCTCTTGGGGAAGAGAACAAGTTCTTCCTCAGAGGGCAGGTTCAAACGAGCCTTCTTCAGTGGCTGTGCCTGTGCCGAGCTTCTCGTCCCAGATTGTCCCCGGTGAAGGACACACTGGCAAGTGCACAGGCTCAGGCATGGCTATTACCTTGACCGCCTTGACCCGGCCTGTCCCCTTGGCAGGACCAGCCTGCCCAGGCCAAACCAACTGAGACACAGACGTATCTAAGCGCAAAATCAGCACATGCTCTGCCAGGCCAACCTTTGGGCAGGTCGCGAGGAGAATTTCGACCTTCCGAAGTTCCGAGTTTCCTAAGGCCTACAACTGCAACAACACAGATACCGTGGTTGAATTCACGGTGGCACTACTTGCATGGTAACACTGGACAGTTGGGGCGCGTCGGCACTCGCAACCACCAGACCAGCGACGCCGTCCGATCATCGAATCCCTTGGCACGGATGAACGGGATGGCCCAAGGCTGAACATCTCCAGAGAGAGCGCTTGAAGGCCGAGGTCGGGACCGACACTCCTGTCGTTGATCGGACTCTACTGGATCAAGCGTTGTGTAAAAGGGCATCGGCACCTTCAGACCGAGACCCCCGTAGTAGACTCTGACTGAGAGAAAGCTGCTCAAGGGCCCAGGCCGCCATCACGAAAGGATGCGGAACAACACGGTCCAACACCCGACGCCGCGCGTAAAAAGCATGTCCGGCATTGTCGCCTTGGTGCTGCACATGCGCCTAGGCGCACTGACATGCCTGCGTGCCCGCAAGTCGGAGTCCCTGCCCATGTCCCCACGTCCTTCAAGATTTCTCGCCGAATGGCCCTCAAGGTCTCCACATGTCTGGCTCGCCAACATTGCGTGACGTCTGCGCCGCGCCATGTGCTCAGCATCGCTGCAGGCTTGGTTGCCTGAGGGCCCCAAACATCCCTGCATGCCCGTGTTTTGAAGTGGAAGCACGCCTTCATGCACAGTCGATGTGGTCCACATAGCTTTCATTTGTCGGGTGTCTGCTGTATAGTAGAGTCAGGCTAGGCCGCAGCAACTCTGCTTGATATAGGGTGTAGTAGCTTCGATCGCCTGGCAACTGCTGGAGGAGACTGTGATACTAGGCTCTTTATTAGCATACCGCCAGCAGATGCACAACATCACACGGCTCTGCTTAGCAGAGTCGTTTGATGTTGGGGCTCCGCTTGGCCGGTCGTATCCGGGTGAAGACCTGAACTGCATGCCAGATTGCTCCATAACTTCGCATCCTGCCTGCGAGCAGCATTCTTCCACGGGCATTTCTCCTGCAAGCGGTGGATCCTTCTTTGGATATATCAGCATAAGGACAATAAACCTGTAACAGTCAGGTAGCGGAGTTGCGTCGGCATAGCTCAACCGAGTCATCATCATAGCCTCGAGTCGCTCTGGCCCACTACTCGAAGACAAACGCACTCGACGAACCACTCCAGCAGAAACAGCACAGCCGAAAATTATTGAAGAAAGGGATGCGCCACGCGGCTCGTCCAGTAATCGAGGACCTTTGCCACGTATGCGCTGGCCTGATTGACAAGCTTTTCTTTACAAATTTCCAAGGATTTGACACAACTGCTGTTGAGCGGCTGCAGACCGAGAGAGAGAGAGAGAGAG